TTATAAATGACCAAACAATGCAAGTACGCCCTGAGATCACTTTATTAGGTACACCTGCTCATTAAGGCGAACAGACTGTTCCTGTAAACAGAGAATCACATGACTGTGACTCAGTTCATAAAGGACACAGAAGGGGTCATGAGGCTCAGTTACTGTTCAACAGGCCTTCAGAATGGGCAAATACATGTAATCCTTAAGCACGGTGTGAGTGCTGGTGTCAGACGTGGTTGTTCCATGTTCTAACATCTCAGAAACAGCTGCCCTCTGGGGATTTTCAGACACAGCAGCATCTAGAGTTTAGAATGAATGGCAGAGATTTTGGGCCCTAAGTAGGCGTATCATATTGGGGGCCCCCAGTCCAGACCAATCCAGTTATTTTCCAAATTTTCTAGGCCCCCTGTCACTCAGGGGCCTTTGGAATCATCCTAACCGCCCAACCCCCCCCCCCATGGCGCCACCTAGTTACTAGCAGTTCTGAGGCTGAATACACTGTGTTAAGGCAAGAGGTCTGACGAGGAAGGTTGGCTCGCTAAAGATAACAGGAAGCGCAAAGATGTCACAAATCAAGCACCATAAGGAAAGTTTCTAAAACCTTATCGAATCCATGCCTCAAAAAATTCAGGGTATTCTGTGGGTAAAAAGGGATTCTACCTGATACTAGGCAGGTTTGCATATCAACCTGGGACTGAGTGTAATTTCACAACTATCACCTAAGCTAAGTTTATTGTAAAGCAACGTCACTGTTTCATTTTACGGGTCGGCTTGCCATGTGTCCTTTATAATAATAGAGGATCTACTGGAAAACAAATCCTGCGTCCTGTAATATACATTATAAAGGACAGGTGGCGCTGCTATTTATAGGACCAACAACAATGTGAAATGCATATTTTCCCATGAAAAACTATAGTGCTATAGACTGTTAGTCTGGGGAAGAAGAGCAATTGCAATCAAAATTATGCACCATGACCTGCTAAGTACAAAAATGATATTGATCACAGCAGCTAAGGGTTCATTAATTAAATGCTGGCCAGGCTTGGAGATCATTCAGAACGTTCTTATTGCACTGTACTGCATATGTATGTAACGTCTATGTCGCTGATTCCCTTACAATGAAGACGCATTATAAAATGCAGAAGACATTAAAATGCAATACTAAGGACATAACATTTCTGAGTAATGGGCTATTTTGTCATACATGCCTCATAAATAATCAGTGTCTCTTAGAAATTGACACTTTTACACAGACAATTTAATGGCTATATTATGATATGTTTGATGCATAAACCAATTACATTTGGATTATGTTTATAATGTTGCCCAAAGGCCCCATATATGTCTATTTGTTATTTATTTGTTTTTTTATTTGTTTTTTTAAAAGCCATGTTAGTATTTCATAACAGTGTGACCAGGAAATGTGTCAAATTACCATGCCAATCAAATTCCATTTCAAACATTACACCTAAATTATATATAGTTACATCAGCTACAAGATACAGAAATTTTAGCACTGCCATCCAGAGGAACAATCAGGGCCTTTTAGTGTGGCCCATTACTGAAGAGAAGCACTCCACAGGAGGAGGTGCAGGGTGTGCGGGTCGGGGTGAATGTAGTGCTGGGAGGGAGATGAAGGTTTGGCGAGTGGGTCTGTGCTCCTGGGCAGTCAATCAAATGGGTCCTAATCAGTGACTAGTAACCAGCAGAGGAAGGACAGGAGAGGAGAGGAGAGAGGAAGAGAGGAGAGGGGAGGGACTCTCACAGTGAAAAGGCAGATGGAAGAGAAGGAGGTAGTATGCTGAGGTTCTGGATCAAAAGAGCCAGGGAGACGTCAGGAAGTAGATTAATCATGGAGGTACAAGAGGGTCATGCAGGTGGATACCGGCAGTGGTGGAGAATCTCGATAGTGTGCCTAAATATCGGTAGCATGGATATTTGCATATTTTATATAATTGCTAGACCCATATCATTGTTATGACACATACATAATGCTCTGAGAGGATCATAAAGCCATCTGTGACGTCCGGACTAACGTCCCGACAGCGGTAAAGCTGATATTCTATTACATTCCGCAGCAGCTGTGTACCGTCCAATTAACGTCGTAGCTTGTAACATATTTGAACGCTTACCACCAGGGGGCGCAGGGGGTGTTCCAGAACCTTAGTAACAATTATTTTTTTCAAAATATATTTAAGTCAAACAAACTGATGAAGGCATCATATAAACAGCAATAGTAGGCAATTTCAACAAATTGAATGAATATTTATATGAATACAGCAATTTGAATAATGAAATAAGTATTTATATAAATCAATTGACATGCTCAAAATTAATGCATTAATATTAATATAGAGAGCTTTTTTTCTTGTTTCTGCATTACATTAACCTGTGAGAGAAATGCTGAAAATAAAACAAAAGCCAATACTAATATCTGGATACAGATTTTTTTTTAGAATTAAATCATCTATTAGGTGTCATCCATCCAACCATCCATCCATCCATTTTCTGAAACCACTTAATCCCAACTGCGGTTCCGGGGGGGGGGGGACCAGAACCCGGTACAATGGGCGCAGGCGGGAACCAACCCTGGGCAGCCGCCAACACACTGCAGGGCAATTAGGTGTCATATACATTTTTATTTACTTTAATAAAATGTAATATTATTAAATATTATATATTACGGTTAAAATAGACAATGTAAGAGAAAAAGTCTGTAAACACCCACACATGTCATTTTAAAATTAAACAGATGGAGAAATAAAAATACAGTTAATTTGACCTTGATTGCATCTGCATTTTAAAGTTGAAAATTTTGAAATCAAGGTAGAACCCTGAGCTGACTCATATGTGGCTTGGCTCTAATAGCGGTTGCGGTCATATTTTCATGATGCAAACACCTAGGGAATGTGCATGAGGCCTGATTAGTGTCACATTAGCCATATGCGGTGTCCATGTTTAAACTACATGAACATTATACAGAAAGGAACTGCAGCCAAACCTGGTAAACCATTCATGTTTTTGAAGTGTATTTATCAATATGGCCATCATACAAACCTACAAGCAAATATATAAAAGAGGGAATCATTTTCATGTTCTTCTGTGGAGGTTTTTCTCCGCAATGTTTAAAAATACCATCCACACAATTCATTATTAGTGCCACGGGCCGCATGCCAAAGCTTTTAAGCACATAGGCGAGCTGGACGTTTAACATCCATTCTTTCAGCACAACATTTCAGAATATATTTGGGTCGAAGGGAGTACCTTTCATTCTTACTGTGCATGTAGATAAACAGTTAATTTATTACCTTGTAAGTGGTATTGCCCTGTGTGGCTGTACATGCCAGGCATTGTTAAGAATCCATAGTAATAACGGGGAAGAGCATTTCCTGCTGCAGTGGATATGACCTTGTCGTAATAGTGTATCGCTGTGAAATCCCACAAATATACACAGTGGGCAGAAATTGGACTCATTGGACACATTTTTCAGTTAATTTTGATTAATGCACGTTCATTTGACAGATCAATCTTTTAGGTGACAGAACAATTTTGTAACGGGAATCACGGAAAGCAGAAGAACCCGGATGTGAGCTTCACTACCTACGCTCCAGCTGACCACAACTCGGGAAGAGTGTGACCGTTCAGCGGAATAGGTTGATTTTTTTAGAAGAAACATATTTTTCTACTGCCCTTCGCACTTAGTTTGGAGCATGACTTTGACGTTAAAGGCTGCTTTCCCATCCGAAAGCCACCGCCGCCTCTTAAGACTATCAAGACAGTATTAGCGTTCTACAAGAGTATTTCAGTGGTACTTAGTCATGATCTGTATTATATACACAGTTGTTTGATGTTTCGTGAGTGTCTTTGTTTTATGTAGCATAATTCTGCTACATTACTGACAGGACGATGTGGGTATGATTTGCTTTGTACTCATGCACAATAGGCAAATAAAGAATCTGGAACCGTGAAGAGTATTTTTTTCCAATACCATGCATGCTAATAAATGAGAATCCGACAATCTTGCATTAACCAAGAGAAACAGCGCGGCGCTATGCTAAGACGATTGTCTTCATGACAGGTGACCATGAGGGTGGGCCTCGTGAGGATTTAAACAGTTAGGTGCCCCCTGCCAATTGGGGCTTATTCACAATTAATTCAAAACTGATTAACATTTTAATTGATTATTTAAAATGTTTATTTTCTGCTGTTTCTCTATTCAAACTGCTTCTGCTTTTAGGGGGTTGAACCCCACGATTTGATTTTCTTTTTTTGTTCTTTTAATGATAGTCTAGCCCTGAACCTACAGCATAAGCTACTGAGTCTGCCACGGACAGGCGAAATGACTCTTTGCTGAATACAATAGACAGAAGTGGGGTTATCTTAAGCAAACTCAGCTGAAGCAACTTTCTGCAGGGATGGAAAACAGAAGTTTTTCTTTAAAAAAAGGCAGATACAAGGTGACACGTCCTTATTTAAGGCCAAGAAAAATGGCAACTACCTAAAACTCAGATGGGAAGCAGTATATACAGTATATCAGTGTTTTCCAACCCGGTTATCAGGGATCCCCGGACAGTCCACGTTTTTGCTCCCTCCCAGCACCCAACAGGAGAGCAAAAATGTGGAGCGAAAACTTGGGCTGCCTGGGGGTCCCTGAGGACCGGGTTGGAAAACTCTGCAGTCTGATCCAGACGAGGCTCCTGGATGTGAGAAAGGGGGAAGAAGGCTAGAGGGGAGACACCTCAACTTTTTGTTCCCACTGACTTGAGTACACGCTCTCTGCTGAAACGCAGCATTTTCAGAACTTGCAGGATTACATATGTGAAAAATATATGTTTGCTATACTATGATCTTGTACTGTTTATAAACAATGATTTGCAATCCGCAAGGACTGTGGGAACACGATGAAAACGACACGCCTGTACAGGTTGCATCAACTGTTGGCAAAAAAAGCAAAGAGCATTACTCCACAATCAATGGACACACCTTCTCAAGAAGAAACATACCAGCGGAAAAGTCAACTGCCAGAAAACACAATTGTGCCCTGGGAATCATTTATCAAAGGTTTAAATCATATAATTCTTTAAAATACAGGTTCTACTGGAAAGTTAGTCCCATATTTACAGTACACATACGTACACAGGAACCCTCACACTTCATACAGCAAATCTTTAACACACATATACATGCATGACCAGCTGACACCAAATTCCTCAGGGTGCTCATAATATAGTATATTTACTATAGTAAAAATAGTAATAATACTCGCATAATAATAATTATAATTACAGTATGTTAAACTGCTATCTTTAACTTAAACAGAACACATATGTCATGTTTCACATTCCATAAAAATGAAATTTAAAAATGTTGCCATTTTGTAGAAAGTTATTCAAAAAGTTATTTTTTTAACTAATGACAGTAAATAGCATTAGCATATGAATATCAAGTAAGAAAACATTTAAAAAGAAAAAATATTTATAATTTGTTCAGTGTGATACAGTAGTGCACAGAAATAACTAGAACTGTGGCCTATTGGCACTAGATATTTTCAGTCTGATTTTCCGGCGTTCTTGCGTTCTGCTCTTCATAAGAATTCCTAAAAAGCAACAATAAAAACAACAAATTAGAAATATTTGTACATGATCATATAATCCTTCTCAATACTGTTGACTTAAGTTTCTCACCTCATTCTCCGTTAAGTATAACACGCTTTTTTACGCCCGTACACATTTTTAGACACAGGCGAGTTACTTTGTCAAGACGTAATTACAGACATCTGCAGCCGCTTGCCCTCTGGTACGCACCTTGGACACAAACACGTGTGCAGCCTTCCCTGGAGATAAAGTTGTTGCTGTTCCCTCCGCAGCCTGTGTACTGGAACTCTTCACAGGATCTGGAGGCCGCGTTAAAGTAAAACCTCGGTATGGAGGCGAAACACGTTCCTTTATCTAGCGGGCGATTGCAGATCTGAGGAATGTCTACAGAAAGACGGTAATGACTTTGTAAGTGGAACAACATGCTGGACGGACAAACTAAACAAGGTAAGATGTGCATATCAGCTGGCCGCAGATGAACATTTAATAGGAGTTTATAGTACTAATACACTGTAAGTAGCTACAAATAAACACCAGTGTCAGTTAACTGGGCTTGTTTAAACCCTATTATAAGTAATTTGTCTGCTTAGTTTCTTCCTTACATTTCAGCTAAAGTTTAGCAATGCAATTCATCAAATCATCCACCTTGGTCATTACACGTTAATGACACGTTAATGCAGGAAATAACTAGTGTCACCCCCCCTACCCCCGGTCACAAAACATGAAGTAAACACCAGCCATTAGCTAAACAAAGTGTGCTGGCTCCCTGATACTTTTCTAGTGCATTCCCAAGTTGCACAGACAATGACGAAGGTGGATTTGAAAGCTCCATTGTTCAGTGACTCCTGATCTCTGGGTGCAGGTGACCGCTTCACTTACTTCTCTGAGGCCTGCAGTACTCCTCACAGGAAGCCATGCTGTCAAAATTATTTCCGTTGCCGTTTATGCCTCCATAAATGAACAGCTCGCACTGCATGGTTGCCATGTTGAAAAAGTATCGTCTCAGGTACGCTCGGCCAATACCCTCTTCCTGACTCAGTCTGCAGAACCTCGGGACTTCTGGAAAGAGAAAGATCCTAAGTTACACGCTGTCTGAAAGGCCAGGATATTCCAGAACCTCACCCCCTCAATATCTTAGAGTTGCCTGATGATATAAATCAGGGGGACCCAATCTTAGCCAGAAAGGGTTGTTGTTGGGTGCGGGTTTTCACTGCAACTCCCTAATTAGATTACTAATTAAAGGACTGATTGGCTGAGGAGTCCTCACACCTGGGTTTGGACAGCTGACCTACAGGATATCCCAAAAACCTGCATATACACTGGCCCTTTTGCGGATAAGATTGGCCACCCCTAATATAAATGATATACAGCATTTTCCTTGAAAGGCACAGGACATCAAGACAGCCCCAATCAAATAACAAAATAAAGAATTAACAAATATATGGGCTGGCCCCCCGTCCTGGGTTGTTCCCTGTCTCGTTCCCGTAGCTTCCGGGATAGGCTTCGGACCCCCCGCTACCCAGAAGGATAAGGAAAATGGATGGATGGATGGATGGATAATTAACAACTATAAATGATGAAAAAAATACAATAATATAAAATTGTCAGGGCATTTAGCACATGGAACTTGAAACTAAAAAAAAAAGGGAAAAAAACAGTGGAACAAAGTTCTGTACTGTTTTTCTGATAAGACCACCATCTGGGCAGTTTTAACAAAGGAAATAACACAGACATGCTTAATATTTTTTTCCTGGATGTACTGCTACAAACAACCTCTACTCCTGCGGTATGTGCATGGGTACTCGCAGTAAATACTTACTCGGGATCCTCCAGCACGTTTTCTTGCACTGTTCGAACGTCCTGAAGTTGTTGTCGTTCCCGAGACACCCGCCGTATTGGAATTCCTCGCATTCCTGCGTTATAGTGTTATAATACCAGCGCCGAGAACCACCATCGCAGGGCCCCTCATCCAGCTGTTGCAGGCAAACATCTGAAATCAGACATAAATCAGCGCTCATGTACATTTTCACAAGGTTCAGTACCTCCGTCTCGCCGAACACTAATGCGCACGAACTTGCGTTTATATCGCATCCGTACAGCTTCGTCGTAATTCCGTGTAATATGAAATATATATTTAAAAAGCCTGTTTGCTAACCACGAGACTGGACGACGTGCTGTAATGAATGACACAAGTGGAAAATCTTTGCAAGAGACTTTTTTCAGGTACTGTACCTGTTGAGGGCAACGCAAAGCCATATATAAGCAGAGAAAGAAGTAACACGACTTGCAGCAAACGGAATCCCATTGTCTCAGTGAGGAATCTGCGAAGAAAAAAATCCTGAAATGCTCCTAAATGCTGCTGGGGTTGGCCATTTTATATCCTTGGTGAACTTTTGAGGAAAGACCCTATGGGCGGGTTTGGTGACTCATTTCCATTTCTCAACGTACAAGCTACGCGGTCATATTTGCTGATTAAATATTTTAAAATGTATTTTGGCATTTTGCCTATTGCAAAGTAACAAGATAAGAGATTTGCGTCACCGTACATGTATTTGCAGTATTCAGAGGTATTTTTCTAATTGATTAATCGAAATAATACTTTCGATGGCAATAATTATTAATGTGAAATTAAGTATTTTATAATATGTTAAACCATATACTCAATGTATTATGTAACTAATCGTGTTTATAAAAGAAAGGGATAACAAATAGTTATCATTTCCATGTTTCAACTTTATAGCTTGTTCATACACCCTGTTAAAACTAATCAACCCATTGCTACCTTTGTTTTATTTTACCTATATATTTCCGAATCAGACACAAAGCAATAGACCAAAATCCGAATTTAAATTACTCGTTAAATGTGTGCTTAAACACAATCCGCCTAACTACTCTCTAAGGCAGTATACTAACTACCTTTGATACATCCATGGAAAAGATTATGCAAAAATCAATCGATTTCAGCAAATGCATTCAACATATATCATATATCAAATGTTATTCAAATTTGTTAGAAGAAGGTTTATATTAGCAAATATTTATATGCCATAGAGATGCCATAGTTCTGAATGAGCTTACGTAGTATGAATGGGTTTTACCGGACGAAGCTATATAGTAAAGTAGTTTTACCGGATGTGTCATCAAGGACTGTGACCTGGAATGAAAGACAATTCACATTGTTGAATGATTAGACAGAAGTAATCATCTAGGCTGGGCGTCCTCATAAAACAGCACCCCAGAGAATGTCTAAATGTCTTCACTGTGTAATTTAAAAAGCAGGCTTGACACAGAGTCAACCTAGAGAAGGTCGCTCCTAAACAGGTGTAAATATAGGGGGCGCTGTGGACAAAGAAGTGTAATGGATACCATGAAATAAACGCGAGGGGTGAAGTCTGATAGAAGAAAGTCTTGTTTATGACTAAGCTATATGGTTTGCAAGAAGAGGTCCTGGCTCTTCGTAGATAATCCAAATGACATTTTCAATATTTTAGATAATGGAACAAACATGATGGATGTCATGAACGTGGAAAAAAAGGTTTGAGCAAATTCCATTTTGTTTACAGCGTCACTGAGCTTTCAAAGGCTTTTCAAGATGTTCACATTATCAATTTTCTCATGGTGAGATCAGCGTGACCTTTTCATTTAGGAGTCTGGGATAAAGCCTGATAATTTTACAGTTGCATTTTTACCATTAATCTTATTCAGGGTGTAGCCCAGCCTTGTATCCTATGCTGCCTGGGATAAGCTCCAGTGCGTGCTTGGTGGTAGGGCTTTGGGGGTGGATGAGATTCGCCCTAAGTTCTTGATGACTCTTGATGTTGTTGGGTTGTCTTGGCTGACACGCCTCTTCAACATTGCGTGGACGTTGGGGACAGTGCCTTTGGACTGGCAGACTGGGGTGGTGGTCCCAATCTTTAAGAAAGGGGACCAGAGGTTGTTCCAACTTCAGGGGGTCACACTCCTCAGCCTTCCTGGGAAGGTCTATGCTGGGGTGCCGGAGAAGAGGTACATCCATTGGTGGAACCTCAGATTCATTTGTCGAATGTATGTTTTTTGTGGACTTGGAAAAGGTGTACGATCATGTTCCTTGGGAGGTTCTGTGTGGGGTGCTTAAGGGGTGGGAGGTTCTGTGTGGGGTACTTAAGGAGTATGAGGTACAGGGTCTGTTGTTGCAGACCATCAGGTCCTGCACAAACAGAGTGAAAGCTTGGTTCACATTGGCAGCAGTAAGTCGGACCCGGTGGGTGTTGGACTCCGTAGAGGCTGCCCTTTGTCACCGATTCTGTTGATAATTTTTATGGACAGAATTCCTAGGGGTAGCTAAGGGGTGGAGTGGGTCCGGTTCGAGGGCTTTAGGATCTCATCTTTGCTTTTTGCAGTTGACATGATCCTGTTGGCGTTGTTGGCTTGCAACCTGCAGCATACACTGGGATGGTTTGTAGTAGAGTGTGAGGTGGCTGAGATAAGGATCAGCGCTTCCAAGTCAGAGGCCATGGTTCTCGAATGGAAAAGGGTGGATTGCCTGCTCAGGGTAGGGGATAAGTTGATGCTAGGGATGTAACGATACACTCAACTCACAATTCGATACGATTCACGATTTTGAGTGCACGATACGATTTTCTCATAATTTTTTAACAGAATGAGCTGCAGACAAATTTATTCAAAAATATTCCTTTATTTATCTCTCTAAACTGTGCAAAATGAGTCCTCTTCTTAACAGTGCAACTAAAATCGAATAAAATACTGTTTAAAAAAAATCCCAAATCAAAATAAATTAAAAAAAATCTGTACTGTAAATAAACGGTAAC